TCTCTCTCTCTCTCTCTCTCTCTCTCTCTCTCTCTCTCTCTCTCTCTCTCTTTCTCTTTCTCTATCTATCTATCTATCTATCTGTCTATCTATCTATCATCTCCCTCACTCTCTCTCACACACACATAAACACAAACAAACAAACAAACACAAACATACACACACACAAACACACACACATTCCTGACTGATGTGAATCGTGTTGATTGGACATACGACAAGCACTCCTATATTCCTCGACCAAAGATATAAAAGCAAGAGCCTTTTCCTTAATAACTCCATAGGAAATGGCTGCGTCAGCGAAGCCGAGTGGAGCCAAAGGTACACTCAGCCCCAGCTCTATGGCTTCTCCCCCGAGTTTGCCCGGGCCGTGTACCGCACCTATAATACCAATGGCGGCTGTCTGAATGCCCAGTCTCTGAACATACGTGAGTAATTTACTGTCTTTGGGAACAGGGCTTTGGGCCTTCGTGCATGTGGGAGACAGAGAGAGAGAGAGAGAGATTCGTTTTAATTGATTGGCCCATACACCCACATATTATCTCATATGACTCGGAAAATATGTAAATTCGTACAGCATAAGAGAGACAGAGACACAGACAGACAGACAGACAGACAGACAGACAGACAAACAGACAGACAGACTTTTTTTTTTTTGGTTTCAAAGGCGTTTAGCCCATATGTCGCCTAAAATATGTAAATTCATGCAGCATAAAAGAAGGAGAGAGAGAGAGAGAGAAAGAGTGAGAGAGAGAGAAAGAGAAGAGGAGAGAGAGAGAGAGATAAGGGGGCAGAGAGAAACGGAAGGTGGAAGGATTAGGATAAGTACAAATTCGAGTAAAGCAGTTTCATTTTTCAGTTTTAGTGATGGTTAGTAAGACCAGTATCTCTTCCTTAAAGTATGAGCTTTGTATTATCTAAAAGAATGTTGCTGTCAAAATGTGCGCACATGATGAATTTGTATGGTGTTAGTATGAATGCGTTTTTAATCTCCTATGTACGCCTGGGGCCCATGTTGTGGGGAAAGGCGGGATCCAAATGCTCTGATTACTATTATTATTATTATTAAAGAAAGAAACATGAGCAAAAATTTCACTGCGAATCCCCCCTTAATTATGGAGACAGGTCTAGCGATTGATTCTCAAAGACCATCCCCGTCTATGAACTCTAATTTACTAAACGTTCTAATGGTTGAGAAGTGTTTTCTCAGCAGTGGAAATTGCTCAACCACGATGATGATGATGATTATTACTTTTTTTTCTTCTTTTTCTTCTTCTTCTTCTT